ATCTGGATTAAATTACATTTATTTTTAAGACAGTCAACAATATATTTTCAACCCATCCAATTTCACATCTAGCAATTATGTATGATTGTAATTTTTTAGTATATACTTTCCTTAAATACGAGTTTTTCTTAGTATATTCTTTCCTTAAATACGAGTTTTTCTTAGTATATACTTTCTTTAAGGTAAAAAATACTTAAATTATCCATGTTAAGAGCTGAGAGCCTCAATAAGCACTAATTTAACTTACCTAAGAAGCCTAAACCATATGGATTAATTATTGAAATACCTATGTTTGTTCAGAATTCCCATTTTTTAATAATGGGACTTTGAGCATCTTTGAAGATATTTTATGAGAATGTACGTAAATGACATAGAAATTTAAAAGTAAACCCTCATTATGTTGATTGAAATCTTTTGACAACTTAATAATTTCATAAAAAAAACTAGCATTATTTTTCCGCAATATTATATCAATCTTTTACCAATTTCTTTTCAAAAGTTGCAAAAGGTTGACCTAAGCTTCTTCATAAAGGCAAAATGTTGTCTCAGGCTTATTAAACCAAACAAAGAGGTGGAGTAGGAAACCATTCTCAAGGTGCAATGCGTGAAATGCACCTAAAGTAGTTTTAATAAAAAGGGAGGAATAAGGAATGGAGCATGTGCTTCATTCTTTAAGGCAATGATTTTAAAATTCGTCTGTCACTTGGATTGGGAGGTGGGTGTTATTAGAGACCCAAAATATTGCCTGTTTTTTGTATGGATATGGAAAAAATAAATAATTTAAAGTCTTAAAAATAGTACACTTAAAATATATCATATCATTTGAACTGTTCATTTTCAATATATTCAAGTGTTTATAGATTTACTTGATCCACAACATTTTTGGAGATTTAAATTTCACATGTTGAGGCAAAATCATATTTCAAGCTGTCACAAGTGTTTCTAACACTTGAACTACATCTTCTTGCAGGGTTTGGAAGTATGCCTTACTTTGATTATTTAAGGTGGGCACCTTATATAAACTGCATCCTCATTTATGTAACTCCTTTTTTCTACTAATGAAATTTTCAAAAGTATCTTTATATATATTATTTGCTATTTTTTGCAAATATCAACAACGCCATTTAATAATAAAAATGCCCGTACTTATTTTATAATATAAAATATAGAAAAAAGCAACTAAAATAATTTTGACGAATCATACTTTTTCTAAATGCAACTTATAGAATTCTATGAGGTGTTAGTAGTAGAAAAACCCCTAAAAATTTATTCAAAGAAATGATCAACTAATTTATTAATAAAATACTTATTTCAAAAAATTGGAGTGAGGTACATGCCTGTGCTTGTCCTGAACTTTAAATCCATGATATATCTCCTATAGTTGTTTTATGTGAGTTTGAAATCTAGAACAAGCAAAGGTGCTTATATAGTTTGATTCCACTAAATTATGTACCTAGTTATCACCATATCAAAAGTTGTCTCGGACACCACAAGATTAAAACCTTGAAACTAGGAGGGAGGGCTTGGACACTCTTTTTGCTGAAGAGTCCGCAAATTTACTTGAAAAAACTAATACCTTCAAAAAGTTAACTTCTAATCTATTTAAAAAAACAAGTAGGGGTTTGTCTTCCCCAATAAATTACCAAAAAAAAAAAAAACATTGGAGGGTTGGATATTGCTATTTTCTTTGAACTTCTGCCGAAAATCAATTTCTTAAAATTATATGGACCAAAATGCTCTATTTAATATGCCTACTTTGTGGGTAGATGGATTGATTTAACCATCTTATTGTTTTTTTTAAGTTAAAAGTGATTAGACCTTTTTGAGGGTTATCTTTTTCTAATGATTTTTTTAAAAAGTTTATATGAGATTGCAATTTTATTTGTCAAAGTATGTTTGCAGTAATTTAAATTATTTATTTTATTTAGATGATGTAGTTTCATATTATTAGAAAACACTGTCATCTTTTGGTACTGTCTTTAAAGAGATTTTAAATCCACACTATCTAAATGAAATGGACGGTCTAAAACAATGTTACTAAGAATGCAACCTATATAAATCGCACCCCTTTCTAAGACCACGAGAAATTTATAGATGGTTTGAAAATATATAACATGGTGGGGCGGATGCTTAATTCAATTTCAATCAATTAAAAAGTTAATATAGAATGGTCATATGATGAGAGAGAAAAGAGAGTTCAACAAATGGGTGCGGTTTGTATAGAACCTAGGCTCTAAACAATCAATTTAGAGCTTACCTTCAAGTAGCATCGAGAAATGTGGTTTTAATATTGGAAATCTTTGTGGTAGTCTTAAAATATATTTTCATATTTATTTATAAAGTTTAAAAACTTCAAGAATAGTGTAGATCAATAGATCTACGAAAACTTGAAAATCTTGAAAATTGACAGTCAAAAAATGCGTTATAAAATACACTATTTTCCAAAACTTGAAATCCATTTTTTTTGCATGTCCATACATCTTGATGTCGAGATGATCAATTTGGAGATATTTGCGCATCAAAACAACCTTTTCTAGTGAACATTTTGATGTAGGCTCAAATTTGATTGTTTAAAACCTTGGCTCTATATAAGCTTTTCCCTAAACAAATTAGAGAGGGAAAATGAGAAGCATAATTAGAAAAGAAAGAGAGAGTGAGTTCACATTTTCCCCATAATTATACCGTTATTAGAAAATGAAAAGGAGATTATATGAGGTTGCAACTTTAGTTTAGATTTTTACTAGTTTTTTTTTTTTTTGTTGAGTTTTACTTTTAGAAGTAAAATTGCAATAATTAATAACTTCAATTTTATTCGATAGATTTATTACTAGATTTATTACTATCTTAAAAGATGTTCTACTTTTTGAAACTTTCTTAAAACCTACACCATCCAAACCAATTAAAATATATGATGTAGAACATTCCTATTTTACTTTTACAATCAACCATTACCTCATATCAATGGTTTAAAAAACGGATCGGTGACCGGGATCGGGCTTCTAAAAAACCGATCCGGATCGGTGAATCGGCCATCCCGATCGGGAATCCGATGAATCGGTCAGAATAAAGCTTAAAAAAAATCCAAAAAAAATATTAAAATTCATTATAAATATTAATTTTTAGGAATTCAATAAGAAATGAGGGTACTCCATTAATAATTTTCATGTTTTTGAATGAATATGCGAATATTGATATGTTCTTTCCCTACATGAACCGCCTTTCAGCATTTAATTTACATCACACAAAAGGATAAACATATAATTATCATGGAATAAGTATATCAACATACATGGACTACAATAAAGCATAAACTTAGTAACATATGATTTAAAAATAAAATGATAGACGAAGTTATTGTTCTTCTTGGTCACGCTGGTGCCATTGATTGAATTCGTTTAACAATTCCTTGATTCGATCTAAAAACGAATCATCGAT